CAAAAATGGGAAAGAGTTAATTAGAATTCTTTTATCTCAAAACATCAGCTATAACCCCTTTTAATTCTAAAGTAATACACATAAATATTATAGGTATCCAGAATGATTCAAAAAGTTTATCCAAGTAGCAGGACATGATTGCAGACTCATAGAAGTAGAGATGTCTGCTTCTCGCAGACAGCAGAAGGTGCTCTCATTTTATATAACTCACCAAAACAGCAGAAGAGTAATTGACCTCTACAGTCCTCTCTGACTGTCACTCAAGAGACAGAGAAAGAGCCAAAGCGAGACAGAGAGAAGGTGTGTGGGAGGACGGGTGGGCGAAAAGAGAGGGATGAGACAAGGATGAAAAACGAGGGTATGGTAGGATACGGCTAGAGCCCACCAGCATGTCACCTCTGAGTGAGAGAAAGAGGCGAAGGTGGTATGTGTGCGTGCATGTTTTCTGCAGTTCTGTAGGCAGGGAATCTAGCAGCGTGTGTGCGTGTGCGTGTGTGTGTGCGTGCACATGTGTGGTGAGAAATAAGAGTGGGCAGATTCGTCTGTGTAGGCGTGTGGGTGGGTGAGAGGACAACAGACCCTGAGAAGAGCACTACATTTCAAAATAAAGGTTTTTAGAGTTCAGAAAGTTTGTAGTGAGACTGAGAGAGAGACAAAAAGAGGATGTGAAGGCCTGAGACGGGTAGTGATTCTGTCAGACCCAGCTGTGACAGACCTTCACTGTGCGCAGGACAAAACGGAGCAAAAACAGATCAACAAGCTATGCTGTCATTTTAAGCTCTACAGGAAGTAAACAAACATTTTGTGGGAACATCATTTTCAATATCAATTCATATCAGTTCTCTTCATTCATTTAGAGCTCAAAAGCAGATGTTTTCCTGGATGTTGCTGCTCAGGTCCATACTATGAAAAGGGAATGGGAAAAGGGACTGTCAAGCTCCAATAAAGAACTAAAAAATTATCATATTAATCGTGTTTTCACTCTTAGCAGCTGACCTGAACATATGTTTGTCTCTGTGCCATTTGGTGGATCTAACTAATTTAGATTCAGAGTGAGTGAGTCATTTATGCTGGAGCCACTCTGTTCAATTCAAACTCAACTGTCAACTTGACTTTCATAATTAGGATTGATTCATTGAAAAGAATTGATTCACAAGAGTCATTCATTCCGGAATTTGACATCACTTGTTGGGTTTCTAAACTACGGAGCCCCACACATGACATACAGGGGAAAAAAAATAGTAAAGCGTCCTTACAACTTAATTCGTTCCCTCGTTTTACTAAATTGTGCGCACAACTTACTAACTCGTTCCTTCGTTTTAAGTAAATTGTTGACAAAAATAGATATAATAGGCCTAATTCGTTCTCTTTATTTGATTGAACTAAAACATGGCCATGATTTAGTAATGTCATGCACACGATTTAGTAAAATGAGGGAACAAATTATTATTTCGTGTGCACAATTTAGTTAAACGAGGGAACAAATTATTATATTGTGCGCACTATACATTTTTTCCTACATGCCATGTGCGGGGCTCCGTACTAAACAGCTGACAGATATTGTCAAGAAAAGTGTTACAGGGCCATTCACACAGAACATGTTTTTGCGTTTAAAAATTCAAGGCGCAGGGTAGTGGATTGAAAAATGCAAAGTTTTTAAAAAAACTTTCCATCTATAAAAAGTTGAAAGACGCATGCTAGTGCAATGAAAAAAAAAACATGCAGTGTCTATATACGTTTTTTAAAACCCATCCATCTAGTATTTCATGTTTACATACAAAAACAGTGGAGAAGATCACCCAGGATATTCGGCAATAAATAATTAAATATGATTAAATAAAAGTTTTTTAACAGATAGTGAGCAAATAATGGCAGAATGTTCATTTTGGTTGAACTATTCTGTGGCTGAAACAGAGTGGTAAGATGTAGGCTAGTTGGGTTTGACAGCTGCGTCTCCCAGGTACAGACTTCAGCGAAGGCCTACACGTCTCTGCAGTCATTCCTGATATAGGATGCTGGAGGATATAATGAAGACTCTGGCGCATTTCCCAGCTGTGAGAGGATTAACTATACGGTCAAACTGTGCAGTCACGACAAGACACAAACATGCTCAGATGCACTACAGAGAGACTGAGGCAATGAAAACATAACAAACCTAGCGGAACATAAATTAAAGGGGCGGATGGGATGGCACATTTACATACAGGCAACACCCCAGGCCAGTGGAAATGCTGTTATTTAAATATGTTTCATGTGCTAAATGATTTTTCTACTGCTGTTTTTACTTCCACATCCACAGTTCTAAGGGGTTTGAGTTGTTGTGAGCATGTTGCTATGCTACGGTGTTGATTGGTGGTTGCTTAAGTAAAAAAAAAAAAGCCCCAAATTTCTATGATATGGACCCTCTTTTCAAAAACAAAACAGGAAATATCATAAAGAAGACCCCTGCAGACCCTCATGAATATTGCTGCTTCTGAAATCGCATACTATGAGTAGGTATTTCTTTTGAATAAGTACATACTTCCCAACAATTGTTCCATATATTGTGTTATGTATTCTGGACATACTACATTCGAAATGTCAATGACCTACCAGCATCATATACTGTTTTCACTTTCTATAGTAAGGAAGTATGCATATTCAGATGCAGCCTGTGTGTGCAAAGTCTCTTAAAATATTATATATTTGACCTTTTATTAATTTTTTTTCAACATTTATGAATTATATATATACAGTATATATATATATATATATATATAATTATTATATTATTTTTCTTTACAAAATGTATGATTAAATTGCATTTTTTTCTTGTGTAAATAATTATATAAACAAAAACAAAAATTTACAAATGTGAAAGTTTAACAAACGAGTAGTTTACCCCCCACACCCCCGCCCGGGCACCCGCCCAGCTCTTAATGCATTGTGTTGCCTTCTTGAGCATCAGTAAATGTTTCCACCTTTTGTATTAGCTGTGTATGAGTCCCTCAATTGTCCTCAGTGTGAAAATATGGATCTCAAAATCATAGTCACTTTTGAAAAGGGTTCAAATGCAGGAGATGCTGGAAAACCAAAGAATGTGCAGGAGCTGGAGGATTTTTCTGAAGAACAGCAGGCAGTTGAACTGCTCTGGACCAACAAGGGACTCATTAACAACTATCACAAAATATAAAAGTAGATAAAATTTGTAGATCATCCAGGAAATTACACATAGTATTAAGACTTTTGAATGGGGTCATTGTTATAAATTCAGTTATTATTTTGTCTTGTGGAGTATATGTAAACATCTGTTATGTGAAATAGCTTATTCAGGACAGTACTAAATAAAAAATAACATTCAAATTTCATGATCCCTCTTATTTTGTTTCAGTTATTAACATTTTACACATTCTGCAAGGGGTATGTAAACCTATGAGCACAACTATATATAAGCAATATCACTTTAAATATTTCTATGAACAAAAAGATTTAACAACTGAGACAAACTGAACAAATTTCATAGAAACAGATTTACCTTTTTTTTTTTTGAAATGTTACAAATTGTGATTGTGACAAGTGGCAAAGTATGGTAACCCATATTCGGAATTAGTGCTCTGCATTTAACCCATCCAAAGTGCACACACACAGCAGTGAACACACACACACCGTGAACACACACCCGGAGCAGTGGGCAGCCATTTTTGCTGCGGCGCCCGGGGAGCAGTGGGGGGTTCGGTGCCTTGCTCAAGGGCACCTCAGTCGTGGTATTGAAGGTGGGAGAGAGCACTGTACATTCACTCCCCCCACCGACAATCCCTGCCGGTACAAGACTCGAACCCGCAACCTTTGGGTTACGAGTCCGACTCTCTAACCATTAGACTTCACGATTTCATACCTATTGGACTATTTCAGGACTTCCTGAAAGGCTGAAAGGAAATGATGGTATGAGAATTTTTTTTTTACCATTTTCAACCTGGTTACACGTGACATTTTTAACCTCAACTTTCTTTGAAAATAGTATAAAAGTTTTTCAAAACCATAAAAAAACTCGCTCACTCATTAACCCGTTTACAATTACGCACTTGTTCAAATGACCAGTAGGTACTAATATTGTTTCTTGTCTTAGTAAGCACCATTAACCAACCTAAAACATTAGTGTGGAATATACTGGTGACACAATAAGACAAAATTCAACTACACCGTACAAAACAAGGGAAGTAGTTCTTATTAAAGACAGACCTTACACTCCTACCCCTGCAATCATATGTGCAGGTGATCCGATCATGATAATTACCCTTCTACAATACCACTTAATCAGTGGGGTGTCAAACTAGTCTGATCGAAAGCGTTTTACCCACAGGCCTGCTGAATGGCTTCGTTTACCCTTCAGGCACAACCTTAAATTATCTCCTTGCATGTAATCACTGCAATGTGATTACAATAAATGCTTTGCCTACACATGCGCTACATTTAAACAGAATTAACAGCTTTGGGAGGAACAAGCGGCGATAATTATGGCATTTTGGGCCATCTTTTGTGGAGACAGAAGGATTTCAAGCAAGCACAGAGAAAACATCGCAGTTCAGAGGGTACTAGCTCAGGGCTTCGCGACGTACAATGCGATGAGTACGTTACCATGGTTACACAGGCACCGGGCCAGAAGGGTGGGAAGAAAGATCGCTCACTGCTGAAGTTCAACTGCTGAGCGTTTTAACCATTTGAACCCGAAGAAAACTTTTTGCGCACTGATAAATGTTCTATGGCGGGAGCCAAGCGATGTGAAAAGTGAAGTAAAGAGGTTCTGCTGAATAGCAGTCGTGATGCACTCAGGCTCAAAGGAAGATTTCACTTCTACCTCAATAGTTTTTGATCTGATTTTCTGAGGTGACTTCCTGAAAGGCTGAAAGGAAAGGTCAGGTTAAGACAAGCCGTGAAATATCATTCAGTCACTCTTCTCAGGGACGGCGATAACCAAAGTACTTCAGGTTTCAGACATCACCGTTTCAGACACCAAACCTAGTTTTTTCAATAGGCTTTCTTTTTAATAGGTGACAGAAAAACAGACCACATACTCACTCCTTTGCAGTATTTCAGTTAAATGTTTCTTTTTCAAAACAAAATCCATAAAAACGGACAATGAAATATACATTTGTAAGATTTATAACACAAGATTGAAGTAATCCTCACAGTAAAGCGATTACAATAAGGTGGACAAAAGTCTTGGGAAGCAAGATAGATACACAAAATCATTGTGTACATTTCTAAAAGATCATCTTTGAGTCCCTAACAGCATGTTGGGATTGATTTAACTTCCTGTCTCGTGTCAAACCAATGACAGATCCCAGTCCTGAGCATACAGGTCCATGTCAATTCACTGCGACACGAGACTGAATTTCACGGTCCACTTTCTTGTTGTCCAAGCACATTTTTTAACTTCCTAAACTTGTTTTTCCCCATTCTGTCTTTATTCTTCTTCAACAATTTCTTGCTTTTCATTTTGTTTTTCTTCTTCTCCAACTGGCTTTTCTCTTTCGTCTCCTTCCCTGCCTCTTTTATTGAATCTCCATTCAGTTCCTTTACCTTCTGCTTTTCGTCAGGTTTCTCACTCTTTTTGGATGCTTCACCATCCAACTTAGGAATTTTGGCCTTTTTGGGACCATCAGATTTTTTATTCTCAGATTTCACTCCGGCTTTCTTCGTGATGATGGGCGGCTCAGATTTCTTCTGTTTTAATTTCTGCTTCTTGCCCATGTTGCTTTTCTCTGGAGTTGAAGCGGGCTTCTGTTGCTTAGATTCTGGTTTCTGGATCTGCTCGGATGAGGCTGCGGTCTCCGTTTTTGTAGATTCTACTTCATCTTCTGAAGAATAGTTCATAGAATTAATATCAGATCAGAAAATAAACAAGATGTGGAAACAAATGGGAAATGATTACACACCTGTTTCTTTTTGGGCAGTGGGGATGGTGTTAGACAGCTTCTTTAGCTTGGCCACAAAAAATCCATCCATGTTGTGGGAGTGAGGGTAGAATCGGCGAGAGAGTTTGAGAGAGGGATGGAAACGTCTTTCTTTGAATCTGTGGAGAGGAGATCATATTAGTGCACTTCATAATTTCTTAGGCAAATTCACATTACGAACTCAGTTTCTAGGAGCACAGCCTTTATTACTGTAGATGGATCTCATTACCTGGTGAATCCCTCGTTGCCAAAGTCTAGTCCAGTGGGGACCAGCTTTACATTTCTCTTCTTCAAAGCGTAGTCCACCACCCACTCATTCTCCTCTACCTATGGAGAAGACAAATCAAATCATTTCAAAAAATGAGCATGTTTTAGAGAATATCAGATGCAATCATCTAAACATTTTAGTGGGTTTTCAGATAAAGATTCATACAATTATTCTCCATCCATCTCTCACTTCTCCTCTCAGTGTTGCATTACAGCACTGGTTTAAAATGCAATATCTGGGTCAATCCACGTCAAATCAGACAGAATTAGAAAAGGTTTTTGCTGCACCAACTCAGACTTAGTTCATAGGTTGTGTATTTGTTGTTGGTGACCTAAAGCGAAGGTCTGTAAAATGTTTCTTTTAACACTTCCGACACTTTCAGCCCCCTGAAGGATTCATTATTTCCAGGCCAAAAACAGTCTCATGTTCAGGGTATGATATCTCAAGTATTAAGATCACTGGCCTCTAAGGAATTGGTCATTTGTTCCAGTCAAGACTAAATGGTTCAGAGTCTCCTCTGAGACACAAATATTTTCATAAAATGCAAGATATTAACATTTTGAGTCATTTGGAGAACCTTGAAATGTAACATGGATGTACACTACTGTTCAAATGTTTGAAGTTCGTATGATTTTTCTTTGAAAGAAAGAAACACTTTTACAACACATCTATAATGTTCCAAAATATTTCTATTTCAAATAAATGCTGTTCTTTTGAACTTTCTAATCATCAAATAATGCTGGAAAAAAATGGCTCATGTTTTCCACAAAAGCAGCACTGTTTTCAACATGGATAATAATCAGAAATATTTCTTGAGCAGCAAATCAGCATATTAGAATGATTTCTGAAGGATCATGTGACACTGAAGACCGGAGTCATGATGCCATCACAGGAATAAATTATGTTTAAAAAGATATTAAAATTGAAAATTGTAATAATTTCACAATATTACAACACTGCATTTTTACTCAAATGCAGACTTGATGAGCATAAGTGCCCTTCAAAATCATTTAAAACATTAAGTCCTACAAATTCCTTTTGAATGGTAGTGCAGGTCTTAAAACCTAATCTTTATATATATAAATAATATTTAATATATAGGTCTACAATTTATTTTATCATAAGGTTTACTCAAACAACAATTTAGTTAACAATTTGCAAAAAATAATTAATAAAACCATTATTAAATACCAGTTCTGCATACTTGGTATCAAATGAAAGCAAATATCGTGTCAGTCGACCTCTAATAGCAATAATGAGACTCAGTAGCCGGGTTTCCATCCAAAGTTGTGAATTTAACTTGGAATATCACATCAAACATTTGTGAATAAGCACTGTTTCCATCCAATGAGTCAAAGAGAACAAAATCGTCACTTCCTGATAAACTGGCACTAAATACAACTAAGAAAAGTATGAGAAGCCACTGAGTGTAATAATTAAGTTGGCTTGAGAAAGCCAACTTACTGATCTACTATTTAAACTTATTATTATTCTTCTGAGCCAAAATTTAAAGGGGTCATATGATGAGATTTTAATTTTTCCTTTCTCTTTGGAGTGTTACAAGCTCTTGGTGCATAAAGAAGATCTGTAAAGTTGCAAAGACTAAAGTCTCAAATCCAAAGAGATATTCTTTATAAAAGTTAAGAGTCAGCCACACCTACCTAAAACGCCTCGTTCTAACACGCCCCCACACGTCTACGTCACGATGTGGGAAGATTTGCATAACACCGCCCAAATGTGCACGCAAAGAAAACGAAGGCGTAACTTTTATTCTCGCTGTAGTATTGTTGACGCTGCAGCCATGTCGTGAAGACGCTGTGTGCTTCGTTGTGAAAGCGAAACTACTTTGTTTGGCCTTCCAAAAGAGGACGATATCCGCTTCGTCATGCCTAGAGCTGATCAGTGCTGGTCGCTGAGGAAATACATCAACTGCACGCTGTGGATCGCCGGATCGGCTTTCACCATGGACAAAGCGGAGTCCAGCCCGCCTCCACGACTAGAAATCAGTGGTTAAGTTGTATTTACAACACTGTTCCAGAACAGTTCAACCCAAATATTCAGATGTGTGCAGAATGCCGGCTGTTCTGACTCACAGACTGCAAGTACGTTTTTTTATATTTAAAGAATTTGCCACTGATGATTCAGACGCGAGTTTTGAGCAGTGTAGAGTAGCACTTGTTGTTTGTCATTTCTCCGATCACAAATGCAGACATGGTTTTATGTTTACGCGACGCGATGCAACGCAACGCATAAAAAGACATTATAATCTGTAATTATGTCCCCACTGGATGCAACAAATATAAATGATATATAATTATATTATATATATATGGGTTTTAATGTTTTTGTCTCGTCGCTCCGGCCGGACAAGGCATCACAGTATGGCAAGGGGCGTAACATTTCCGTCTCACACTTGAGGTATTCGGCCAATCACAATGCACTGGATAGCTGGCCAATTAGAGCACACCTAGCTTTTCAGACCGATTTGTAAAAATCGACGTGTTTCAGAATGGCGGGGCATAGAGGAGAAACAATAATGTACAGTATGTGGAAAGTAATGTGTTTTTTTAGCAGCATCATATGACCCCTTTAAACACTATCTCCTCCTAGAGCTTTCAAGTTACAACCACCAAACTCGGATCAGACTTTCAGACTGGTCTGACTTATGGTTTTCGAAAACCAGACTATCAAAACCACCTAAAATCTCACAGACTTTCATTGAGGGTGTGAAAACTTTTATACAATGAGACTTATGGTGTTTTTAAGCTGTCTACTGCCATAGCAAAGCTTAAAAACTCCCTACTGAAAAAACAGCTAAAACCAGCCTAAGCTGATTGGCTGCTTTGGCTGGTCTCCCAGGCTGGTTTTAAAGTGGTTTTGGCAACTTTTTAGCTGGTCAGGCTGGTCAAGCGGTGAGACCTGCTAAAAGACCAACCAAGCTTAACCCAGATATTTTCAACTTAAACCAGCTAAGACTAGGCAACCAGCCTATGCTGGTTTTAAGCTGTTTTTTTTTTTTACTGAATCAACTGGTTTTAACTGTATTAGCATAAAAACATGCAAACAACATGCTAGTAACTTGCTAATCATGCTAACAACATGCTGATCATGCTAGAAACAAGCTAGCAAACATGGTAGTAACTTGCTAATCATGCTAGAAACATGCTAGCAGCAAGCTAGTAACATGCTAATCATGCTAGCAACATGTTAGTAGCTTGCTAATCATGCTAGCAACATGCTAATCATGCTAGAAACATGTTAACAACATGATAGTGACTTGTTAATAATGATAACAACATGCTGTTAACATGTTAAACATCCTAGTAAATTGTTAATCATGCTATAATCATGCTAGAATCATGTTAACAACATGCTAGTAACATGCTAACCATGATAGCAACATGCTAGTAACTTGCTAATCATGTAAGAAACATGCTAGCATTATGCTAGCAACATGCTAATCATGCTAGAATCATGTTAGCAACATGCTAGTAACTTGCTAATCATGTTAACAACATGCTAGTAACTTGTTAATCATGCTAAAACATGCTAGTAAAATATTAATCATGCTAGAAAAATGCTAGTAACTTGCAACTCATGTTAACACCATGTTAGTAACATGCTTATCATGATAACAACATGCTAGTAACATGTTATTAACATGCTAGTAACTTGCTAATCTGGCTAGAAACATGCTAGCAACTTGCTAAACATGTTAGAAACATGATAGCATTATGCTAGTAAAATGCTAATCATGCTAGAATCATGCTAGTAACATGCTAATCATCCTAGAATCACGTTAATGCCATGTTAGTAACATGTAATCATGATAGAAACATGCTAGTAACTTGTTAATCATGGTAGCAACATGCTAACCATGTTAGAAACATGCTAGTAACATGCTTATCATGCTAGCAACATGCTAGTAGTAACATGTTAATCATGCTAAAAAATATGTTAGCAACATGCTAGTCATGCTAGAAACAGCCTAGCAACCACCTCAGGTACCCTCGCAATGCGTTTTATACCTATCTGTTTTTCTGATAGACTGTATTGCCTTGAAAACATTCAAACTTTAATCTTTAAAACTATTTTAACTTTTAAACTACTCCAAACTGAAAACTTTCAGATTGCAAGCTTTTAAAACTACTTCAAAAACTTTCTGGCTAGGCTTTTTCAAGCCAACTTAAAGTTTGTCTACAAACTTTACTCATCTAGTTCTCATATATAATAAATATGAACATGGAGGAATGTATTCACATGCATTTCCATCTCCCATTACTTGCATTAACACTTTTTCGCACAAGTCAAAAACCACCTCAAGCGAGCGTAAAAACTGTTTTGTGAATTAAGGGATTTTTTTTTTTGGCATTGCCATCACTTGTTTCTGAGGTGATACTTCAAAATACGCATAAAAACAGGGAGATGGAAACATAGCTACTGTGTGCAACTAAGTCGTGGCCTAATGGTTAGAGAGTCGGACTCATAACCCAAAGGTTGTGGGTTCGAGTCTCGTACCGGCAGGGATTGTAGGTGGGGGGAGTGAATGTACAGCGCTCTCTTCCACCTTCAATACCACGACTGAGGTGCCCTTGAGCAAGGCACCGAACCCCCAACTGCTCCCCGGGCGCCGCAGCATAAATGGCTGCCCACTGCTCCGGGTGTGTGTTCACGGTGTGTGTTCACTGCTGTGTGTGTGCACTTAGGATGGGTTAAATGCAGAGCACTAATTCCTAGTATGGGTAACCATACTTGGCCACACGTCACGTCACTTTTTTTTTTTTTTAACCATAATAGAGCATGTGCAGTAAATAATAAATGTGAACATGGAGGAATGTATTCACATGCATTTCCATCTCCCATTACTTGCATTAACACTTTTTCGCACAAGTCAAAAACCACCTCAAGCGAGCGTAAAAACTTTTTTGTGAATTAAGGGATTTTTTTTTTTGCCATTGCCATCACTTGTTTCTGAGGTGATACTTCAAAATACGCATAAAAACAGGGAGATGGAAACATAGCTACTGTGTGCAACTAACCATAATAGAGCATGTGCAGTAAACAAGGTATCCACCAGTTGGAGAATCAGCATTGACAGAGTCGATAGCAGACAGGATGAGCTCCTTCTGCAGGTGAGCCGAGCGAAGAATATCAGCCTCATCCTGAGAGACAGAGACAAAGTTTAAGTTTCAATGGAGAATGTACATAAAAGCAGTGGTGTAATGTAACGAAGTAATAATACTTTGTTACAGTACTTAAGTATTGTTTGGGAGTATCTGTACTTTACTTGAGTTTTTATATTTCAGCCAACTTTTACTCCACTACATTTCCTAATTAAAATGTATACTTTTACTCCGATAAATTTCCCCGAAGCATATTCTTTACTTACTATAAAATAAAGTCAAAAGTCAGAAGAACACGGACTGCAGGAAGGCCATTATATAGCAACCCTCTACGCACACCGTGGCAATATAATCGCCATTGGCTAGTAAATTTTTTTGTTT